CGCTGCGCGCTGCACGCGGCAGGCTGCTGGCCGAGCCCAGAGACTGCCGGTTCAGTTGGACCGCAGTCCGGTCCAGACCGGTTCAGACCGGCTGGGCCGGTCCAGTCTCAGTTAATCCGGTTCAGCTCCATCTTAGTCCGGTTCAGTTTCATGTTTAAGTGTTCAGCCCGGTTTATGATTTTAAGAGCATATTCAGTTAAATTTCCGGGATTATTCAGTTCAGTAAATTCATGTCCAAATCAGTTCATGTTAAATCAGTTCCGGTTATTCCGGTGTCTAAATATCATGTCAGGTTAAGTAGAGCATCTTAACGAAATTTATCAGTTAAGTTATCAGTCTGAGCATAGTCATTAGTAATTGTTTATATTATTTTCAGTTTGATCAGGCATCAGCACTGCCGTTCAGTTCAACAGTTCAGGTGGGGACTCAGACTACGTACTACATTTATTATAATTACAGTACCATGTTTGAGGTATGTATTTCAGTTGAGGTATCCGCTCGGAATGGTCGCCGGTCCATTCTGGGTTCTAGTGGCCCTAGTCTGCCCACTAGAGTGTGCACATGGTGTCCGGCTTTGCCGGCAGATGAGGTAACGGTCAGGGTCACGTTTGCGTGACGATTTCAGGGTCACGGTTGCGTGACGATTTCAGATTCATGTTTATTACCGGCTTGAGGTTGAGGTTATGTATATACTGATATCATGATGTTGTTATTATTTTCGATGTTTTACATTAGTATGAGTTTCCACGGAGCACAGTGCCATAGTGCTCACTCCCCAGTTTTATCATGTTTTTCAGGTCAGGACGTCGGGCCGGGAGCATGAGCGTGATGTGACGGGGACTTCAGGATATTTATGTTTTGGACTGTATAATTATGATGATGAATTACGCTTCCGCTTGTGATACTTTGATGACTTGTGATGATGTTTTGATGACTTTTGACGTACTCGTTTTGACGAACTTATTACTTTTGACGAACTTTTGAGAACTTATTATTTCAGTAACCGGACGATTTTATGAAAATTAAACAACGGTTTTCTAAGTTAAGTCACGATTTTTAAAGGTAGCACCCCGAATCAGTTTTCACAAAGTAAAAAGGTTTTACTTTAAATAACTTTGCGAAATTTGCGCTACTCTGATTTTACGATAAGGAGGGGTGTTACAATTGGTATCAGAGCACGTTTCTGCATCTCTGATAAGTTTTTCAGTCAGTAATTTTTCAGAAAAACCTGAACCGTCATGCTCACGCCCCGCCGACGACAGGTAAGTGCTGATGAAGTTTTTTTTTTCAGTTATAAACATATTACTTTGTCTATGCTCAGAATTGAGGATCAGGACTTTAGTTAAGATGCTCGAATAAGGTTCAGATTTTAGAGTTCGGACATGACTCTAGAATTCAGGCATTCAGATATGACTCTAGACATTAGGATCTTCCTATATGACTCTAGAGTTCTTCTGGTTTCATGTCAGTATTTATCGGCCATTTTTGGCAACTCGTCAAGAGATCTGTGTGCCTTAAGCAATCAGTCAGTAATGTTATCATGTATTCAGTAATGTTAACTTTTCTCAATGTTCAGATGCCGCCACGTAGGGAACCCGATCATCAGGCTCCTACTCAGGCTATGGTAGTTGCTCAGTTCCGCGACTATCACGCCGAAAAGTTCTCAGGGCAGGGAGACCCCCGCATCGTTGATGAATGGATTCAGGGGTTGGAGTTTATCTTTGAGGTTATGGAATGCCCCGATAGGTATCGCGTAGTTTGCACTCAGCTTCAGCTCACTGGTGATGCAAGGCTCTGGTGGAACGCCTACTGGAGCATGCGTCCCGGTGAAAAGGCGGGTTGTACATGGGACATGTTCAAGGAGCTAGTCCGCGACAAGTACTACCCTTCCTACTATCGGGCAGAGATGGAGCACCAGTTCTTAGCGCTTCAGCAGGGAACTCGTACTGTTGATGAGTACGAGCGAGAGTTCACTAGACTTGCAGGTTTCGCACTGGATCTTGTTCGCACGGAGGCCCAGAGAGCGCAGCGGTTCATTGACGGACTTTACCCAGCAGTCCGTCATAACATCGTGGGACACGGGACTCAGACTTACTCTCGTGCCGTTTCTATCGCCCAGGAGGTGGACGCTAGCATTAGGAGGAAGGCCGTTCGTGAGCAGTTCCAGCCATCTGCCCCAGCTCAGCCATATGCAGCTCCACCAGCTCTACCAGCCCCTCAGCCAGCAAAGGAGAAGAAGAGGAAGGGAAAGGGTGCACCGACTGACCGGAGGATGCGACAGAGACAGCAGCCGATTCCACCGTGCCCGACTTGTGGTCGACTTCATCGTGGAGAGTGCCGTATGCGACAGGACATCTGCTACTATTGCCATGAGCCGGGTCATTTTGTGAGTCGCTGTCCGAAGAGACTCCAGCAGCAGCCTCAGCAGCCACCACAGCAGCAGCCACGTCAGCAGGCACAGAGGCCGCCTCAGCAGCAGCAGCAGCAGAGGGGCAGGCAGCAGGCCAGGGTTTACGCGGTCGATTAGGCAGAGGCAGCACAGCAGCCAGGTACTATGTCAGGGATGGTTGTTCTCAATGATATTCCTGTGTTCGCTTTATTTGATACTGGAGCGACGCATACTTTTATTTCACGACGATGTCTCGATGCCATCGGAGTTCACGCCGTTACCACTGTCGATCCTCTCGAGGTGAGTTTAGCCTCGGGACGAAAGATAGTGACCTCAGCTAAAGCCTCAGATCTTAGCCTTTCCATCGGTGGCCGAGTATTGACTGCCGACGCGTTTGTTCTCGAGATGAGGGACTTCGACCTTATTCTCGGGATGGATTGGCTATCCTTCTATCATGCAGACATCAGGTGTCATGACCGGGAGATCACTCTCTATCTTCCGGGAGACGAGTCAATTACTTTCTTCGGCTCCAGAAATCGTTCACTGCCTCACATTGTTTCGATGGCGAAAGCCACTAAGTTATTGCGACGAGGCAACTGCCAGGGTTATCTGGTGAGCCTTGTCGACGACTCTCAGAAAGCGCGGACACCTCATGATGTTCCAATCGTTCGCGAGTTTGTGGACGTGTTCCCAGACGAGCTTCCAGGAGGACCGCCCAACCGTCAGGTGGAGTTTTCTATCGATCTTATCTCAGGGACCGGTCCAGTATCCAAAGCCCCATATCGCATGGCGCCTAAGGAGTTGCAGGAGCTTAAGACCCAGATTCAGGAGCTGTTACGACTCGGTTTCATCCGACCGAGCGTGTCACCATGGGGAGCACCCGTTCTCTTTGTCAAGAAGAAGGACGGATCCATGCGCATGTGTATCGACTACCGGGATCTTAACCGGTTGACGATCAAGAATAAGTATCCGCTTCCCAGGATCGACGACTTATTTGATCAGCTGAGGGGAGCCTGTGTGTTCTCGAAGATTGACTTACGATCAGGCAACCACCAACTGAAGATTAAGGAGTCAGACATCGCTAAGACCGCTTTCAGGACTCGTTACAGCCATTACAAGTTCGTCGTCATGCCTTTCGGTCTCAGCAATGCCCCAGCTGTTTTCATGGACCTCATGAACCGTATTTTCCATCCCTACCTCGATCAGTTCGTTATTGTCTTTATTGACGATATCCTTATCTACTCGAAGAGCCAGAAGGAGCACGAGGAGCACCTGAGGGTGGTTCTTGAAACCCTCAGACGAGAAAAGTTTTACGCCAAATTCTCCAAATGCGAGTTCTGGCTTCAGCGAGTAGCCTTTCTGGGTCATGTGATTACTCAGGCAGGTATCGAGGTGGATCCATCGAAGGTTTCAGCCGTTCAGAATTGGTCGAAACCGAGGAGTCCGTCCGAGGTTCGCAGTTTTCTCGGTTTAGCTGGTTACTATCGCAGGTTCATCGAGGGCTTTTCTAAGATTGCCCTCCCTCTATCCCAGCTGACGAGGAAGTCTGTGAAGTTCGAGTGGACTGACCGATGTGAGGCGAGCTTTTAGGAGCTCAAGAGGAGACTAACTACAGCACCGGTGTTGACTATTCCCGATCCTTCTTGGAGTTTCACTATCTTCAGCGATGCTTCGAGACAGGGCTTGGGATGTGTCCTTATGCAGGACGGACAGGTCGTTGCGTATGCTTCATGTCAGCTTAAGCCTCATGAGCAGAACTATCCTACGCACGACTTGGAGTTAGCAGCAGCCGTTCACGCTCTGAAGATCTGGCGACACTATCTTTATGGCGGACGCTGCGAGATTTTCACAGACCATAAGAGCTTGCAGTACATCTTCACGCAGAAGGAGCTTAATATGAGGCAGCGCCGTTGGCTTGAGCTTGTCAAGGATTATGATTGTTCTATCCAGTATCATCCGGGAAAGGCGAACATCGTCGCAGATGCCCTAAGCCGAAAGGTGAAGGGTGACTTGACGTACGCCATTACGCAGCAGAGTCAGTTGATTCATGAGTTTGCCCGGATGCAGCTTCAGGCGATTGATGCACTTCCCATAGTTGTCTCGGGGAGTACCAGTGCCAGTGTCAGTGCTATGCAGCTTCAGCCGACACTGAGAGAGAGAATCTGGCGAGAGCAGGCTTCTGACGAGTTTGTTCGTGTTATGGAGGCCAAGGTTCGCGCCGGAGGCGTCCAGGATTTTCAGTTAAGTACCGATGGTGCCTTGGAGTTCAGAGGCAGGATCTTGGTCCCGAAGGTCGAGGCGTTGCGGAAGGAGATCTTATCAGAGGCACATACCGCACCCTACTTGGCCCATCCGGGGAGCACGAAGATGTATCACGATCTGAAAGGGTCGTTTTGGTGGCGAGGTATGAAGAAGGACGTCGCCGAGTTCGTTAGGAGGTGTCTTACCTGTCAGCAAGTCAAAGCCGAGCATCAGAGTCCGATCGGCCTCTTGCAGCCACTGCCGATTCCGAGGTGGAAGTGGGAGGAAGTCACTATGGATTTCGTTACGGAAATACCGAGGTCGTCTGAACATCACGACGCTATCTGGGTCGTGGTCGACAGATTTACTAAGCTTGCGCATTTCTTACCCGTTTCGATGAAGATGTCTCTGGACAAGTTGGCTGAGATATATACCCGTGGGATCATCCGACTCCACGGAGTGCCCGTCATTATTGTATCAGACAAAGATCCCAGATTCGTCAGTCGATTCTGGCACAGCTTACATGAGGCGATGGGCACGAAGCTTGAGTTCAGTTCAGCCTACCATCCGGAGACAGATGGTCAGTCAGAGCGGACGATTCAGACACTTGAGGATATGCTTCGCGCTTTGGTTGTTGACAGGGGTGCTAAGTGGGAGTCACTGTTGCCGTACGCAGAGTTCGCGTATAACAACAGCTATCACTCTTCCATTCAGATGGCTCCTTATGAGGCACTTTATGGTCGCAAGTGTCGTTCCCCTCTCTATTGGGACGACGTTGGAGAGCGGCGAGTACTCGGTCCTAAGATGATCGAGGAGACAGCAGAGCAGGTCGAGTTGATACGGCAGAGACTCAGGACAGCTCAGAGTCGACAGAAATCTTCCGCCGATCATCATCGATGAGACATTCAGTTCGAGGTTGGCGAGCCAGCCTTTCTAAGAGTCCGTCCGATTCGCGGAGTTGTGCGATTCGGAAAGAGAGGGAAGCTGCACCCTCGTTTTATCGGTCCGTTCGAGGTTCTCGAGCGAGTAGGCGAGGTCGCGTATCGGTTAGCCCTACCTCCCGAGTTATCAGGCATTCATAATGTTTTCCATGCATTGATGTTACGTAAGTACGTGTGCGACCCCGATCACGTCATCCCTCATACGGATATTCAGGTTCAGCCAGATCTATCGTACGAGGAGCGACCGGTAGCTGTACTAGACCGTCAGGTTCGTCGGCTCCGCAAGCGAGATATCCCCCTCGTACGTATTCAGTGGGATCGCCACGGAGCTACTTGGGAGGAGGAGTCCGACATTCGCGCTCGTTTCCCAGACTTTCAGTTTTGATGTACATATTTCTTTATCCTATGTACATAGTTCATGTATATCAGTTATGTTTTGAATTTCCGAGGACGGAAATTTTGTAAGGAGGG